TCGAAAGCTTTATTCATTATATCTTTTTACGAAATGTTATCGATACTGAAATCATTTTTTAGAGAGAAGATAGAATAAAAAATTCGATAAAATTATTGTGCAGCCGTATGATGAGTTTAATCCTTATTGTTTTACATTTGATATTTCTGTTATATTTGACAAAATACAAAAAAGAATATCAAAAATAATTCATTTGAAACGATAAAGAATATTGCGTCCCATTTAATTGAAACTAGTGAGTAGAAATAAACGTGATGTGAGGTGCGAGTTTCGTTCGCAGTTTAACGTGAATCTCATTAGCATGTGTTTGCGTTCTACGCATCACATTGGCTTGTATAAAACCGCGCGTGCAGCTAGTTATCATCTCGGTATTAGTCGACATTACTCAGATATTAAATATCCATTATTTGCACACGAGAAGTGCGATGCTGCGAGCGCGGTGATTGGAGTTTATTTGAATTTAATCACAGGGCAAAGTGCTCGTATTAACCCGGAGTACATGGTCTCCATATAGCGACGAGGAGAAGAAAGAGGTCGGAAGAGAAGAAGAGAATAGGGAGGGAATTTAATATCCGTTATGGGCGAGCACATTCGCATATGTGGCAACGAATATGCGGATGACCGAATTGTCCGAACAAATTTGCTCGCTTGCGGAAATATATAGAAAATGCGCAACGCGAAACCGCGATTCTGCAACGACAGCTCGGTTTATGCGGATCACTTTATTCGGCGTGCAAAAATTTCGCGCGTCCGCGCTCGTAACGTCCGCATAACGTCCTTCTCTTTCTCGTGCGATTTTACAGCGGACAGGTATCGTACACTTGCGGCGTATCGGGAGCGAGTTTGACGTGGCTATCGAACGCACGTTACACCCGGTCGGTCAAAATGATTCGTTGTTGCTATATCGAAACTCACGAGCTGTTATTACAGTTTATCCGATCGCGTGCACTCAAATATTTTCACGGTAAATATTTGCAAGGTTTTCATGATACATTTGTACGAGATGCTTTTATGTTATTTATTTCACTATTCGATTTCGTTGAGATGCTTTTATGTTACATGTTCAGCAGTTATTATTTTTGAGATGTGATTCTCGAAATACGTAAACTTATATACACATATCGCTTCCTTACTTCAAAAGTGATATTTCAAAACATTAAGTTTCCCAGGAAAAGAGGAAAACCATTTTTCAACTTATCAGAGAGTTATTAACTAATCAAATAAAATTGGCAAAAAAAAATTTTTCAAAAGTGTAAAAATATTCTTAATATGATCAAATGTCATTTTTGTCATTTTTGTTTTATACCATTAAAAATCTGTTTTTTTATTACAACACGTTTTGACTATTTTTTGAAGTTAAATTAGATCATTTTTTATGACTTTGTTGGGGGGAGATGATGTTTAATCTGATTTTTTTAGTTGTGTTACTTTTGAAGTAATGGAAATATATATGTATATCTATTTATTTATAAATTTTTTTTAATGACATTCTTACATCTTTAAAAATATCGCTGATCATCAGAAAAAATTTTTGTAATGTTGCATTGAAGTTCTCTGCACTGATTATGATATTTTTATAAACATATACTAAATTAAATATTCCTTCAAAAAAACTCTCTTAAAAAAACCAGTAGATTTTATTTTAGTTAATCTAACGACGTTTTTAATGTACAGTATTTAAATTTTCTAATGAAAGAACGAATGTCCATACGTTTACTCACAAGGATAAAAACATCCGTATCCGGTGAGACCCCGGATAAGGGTTGAAGGCACTTGCTTCTTGAAATGTGGAGGCATGTGGAAAAAAATCTCGATGAGATCGTTCTCTCTCGTGGCCACTGACGCCTTCGCGTTCTCGTATATTTGCGGGATCCGTTTTTACCCGCGACTTCTTTTTATCGTCGTTGCCATTGACGTCAATCTCGCTCCCATAAAAGCCGTCGCACATGTGCGAGATTCCGCACAGTGACTTCGTGAACAACCGCACAAACTTGCATCGTTTGTACTGTTGGGCTTTAAAGAGCCAATCAAAATTCCACGTTGACCCATTTCGTGATTGATCAACGTGTTCGCAATTTGACGATGTGGCCTGATAAACGCTCTCGAACGTGATCGCGATTCGACGCGTATGACGCGTATGTCGCGTCGCTGCCCATCGCAGGAAGCTATTATCGCTTCCATGCACCAGCGTATCATCCAAATTGCATGCGAGGTAAGCTGCATAAATAAAGATCCGATGCTTGCGCGTTCAATAAAAAGCAATCTGAAAAAAGTTTCCATTTATGTTATCTCGATTTCAACTTTAAAAACGTAGAAGATAAGAAGAGATATATCGAACGATTTCTTTCGCTTGATTTGGTAAGAAAGTGACTTTCATAAATGTGTATGCACTGGAATATTCTGAAAGAAAAGACGTAGTACCAATGAAATAGACATTTCAGTCAGAAAAATCCAACTGTTTTCTTGAAAATTAAAAAAAATTGCATGAAAAGTTACACTTTCTGATTTTTGCTCTTCTATGCAACAAACATTCACGCGAGGATGACGATGATCAATCATCTTTTTTGGAAAGGGAACGTTATAATTTTCTTATAGGAACAAGCATTAAATCAGCAATTTACCGTCACTGTATTCAAACGTTAAAAATGAATGACTCCACAAATCATGGTCCGAATATTTTATTTCAGAGCGTGTCGACAGTTCATTCATGAGATATCGTATCGTATAGTCGATAAAATATTTCAGAGTATTTTTAAACGGAAAACCGTTGTTCTCTATCAAATTTTGTAGTCAACGTACCGAGGATTTATTATCAGGGAATAATTGCCAATGCTGAATATGCATTTATGTGCGTCCAGTTTGTCGATACCGGTTTACCGATACCTATCGATTGTGTGCGATAAATGTAATTGAAATTCAGTTTTCCGTGGTATTCCGCGAGAAGCGGAGGAAACGTTAAGCAATAATTTCAGTTCATTTACCACCTACGCAGGAAGAATTAGCGGGCTTAATGTGTAGTTGACAGAATGACAAATGGCTAGCCGATTCCTCTTCTTGCCTACTCATGCAATATATTTACCGCACGTTCCGACGTAGCAATACAACAAAAATAATGAGTTAATAAGCGTAAGTTAAATTATTAATTAATAAACAACTGTATTAAATTAAGTAATTTAAATATTCATGTGATGATAATGATAAAATCTTCATATAGAAATTTACAAAATAATGATTATTAAATTCAAAATTATTGTTGAAACAATTAAGCGATAAATATGGAATTAATGAATTCAACAAAAATCTCTGACTTTTTGATATAGTTATAATGGCATCTACCATTTATATTTTGAGTTTACAGATAAAATATTGGAGACTTTGTTGTATAAAGTAGTATCTTACGGCTTACATTGTGCATTGAATTATAAATTTTAATTTAATTTAGTTATGCTTTTTATTCTTAAAAATAAAACACTTGTATAAACATTCAGATCTTTACAAGCTTTTCAAAATTATTTTGCACTTCTTCGAACGCCGAATCCTTGTATTCGAAGCCCGCTTCTCCTTGTGCGGATGAATGCAAATGTCGGAACTGCGTCGTTTCAGTAACGTTGACTTCGTTCGCTCGAGTCAACAAAAACAAATCTCTACGTTACTAGACGGGTCGATAGTTTTGGTACTTCAGAGTTCCGAGGACGGAGCCGCAGTTAGCCGATTTCGCGAAAACAGAGGCCAAAGCGGAGCTGTTGAATTTACTCGTTGTAACTCGTGCCGATGTCAAGGACTTTTGTCGATGTAATTACATTGCCGTTGCAGTGCCAGCGAGGGTTGACGTTCGTGTAACAAACAGGAGCAGTTTCCCACGGCACAACCGCGAATGCTACGACGGGAAGGATATAGCTTCGCTGCGCGTCGTTGATCACAATGTTCGATTGAACTCAAAATACCACTCTATTTGCAGAGAGTCTCCCCGATTTGGGGAAGAGTTTTGCGTATACCGATGTTGCGCTCGATTGGCCATCGAAAATATTTCACTCTTCGAATTTATCGACGTCCAGAGAGAAACATTTAATTTAATATATTTTGTTGTTTATTTTAATTAAACATCAATAAAAAATACCTTACAGCTATGAGTTTATGGTGTTTATATAGTCAACTGCGAATAGTTACAATAGAATTTACAAAAAAAATCTTTTCGAATTTTTATATTTGAGTATTTCATGTCATATACTGTCATGAATGTAGAACGATTTTTTTCCTGGCGGAAAATCGAATATTTTTGCTCGTGCGAAATTTTGTGATAGTGAAAAATTCGTTTATCGATAATGAGAGATGCCAGTTTAATGGACGTTAAAACGCTTCGTCAGTAGTTGGATAATTACTTATTGGCAGCCATTGAATAATTTTTGACACCAACGCAGTCTTTCGGTGAAACGTTAAATATTGCATGTGACATACCTTTTTTGCATGCGCATATCGTAAGCTCTTTTTGGTGCGTTGCTTAATTTCCATGTAATCGAATGCATAAAGGTGGAAAACGACGATGTCCGACATATGAAAAAAGCGTAAAAGCAGACAGTTCCGATCGATATACGTTCGCCAAGTATATTCATTAATGCGGAAGCTTCGCAAAAAGCTTTGTAAAACTCCGTATTATGATGTAGACTCCGATGCACTTTTTTTCAACATTGTCTATATATCGCTTGTTAACACTTGAGTAGTTCTGCAAGAGTCTACTTGACTTGTAAAGTTAAGTACTGGATTTAGATGAAGTAAAAGCACAAAGTGCCTTTAACACTATAGGTAGAAAAATTCTAAAATTTCTAAATTGTTTTATCAAGAAAGAAAGGAATTTTTAAAAGAATTTTATTGTATTTTCTAATTTTAAATTTACAATATACTATATTTTTTGTCAGAAATGAGAATAAAAATTTTAACCGCATCACGTACTTTACGAATGTAATCTTTTAACATCACTTAAATTAATTCATTTATTGTTATAGGTCCGTCCTCAGATTTTAGCAGACACACTTTGGTGAGACCGCGAGTGTATCACGGCAGAACGAAAAGGCAGATCTCTTCAACCAAAGAAAATGTGAGTTCAGCTATTTTTTGTATAAAAATATCTTTAATATCTCATGAAAAATTATATGCGAGTTATATCCTGAAACTTTTAAAATACTGTTGAAAGCTCGCTGTTTTTATTAAAAAAACTCTGTATTCAAGGGTTTTATGAATCGGCTCTCTCTCATCCCCCTTTGTCGTCTCACATAACACTTGACCCGTAAATATGAATCACGACAGTGTTTTTTGTATAAAGATTTTTATTCATAATCCTCTCTCGCATAAATTTCGTCAATACAACGAGTCTCTTGTAGATAATCTTTTTCCATTTTTCTTGCAACCAGTCAATTAAAAATTAATTAAGTAACAAAAAATTCCTCTACGCGCTACTCTATGACATTGCTTGTAATGTAATGCACTTCACCTTCACTCTATTATTAAGTGAAGGTGAAGTACCTACAAGAAATTACAATGTAGCTCTCTCCGTTCCAAGTATCAAACGCACCGGATATTCTGAAGATTTAGCAAAAGGCAACGTCCGCCAATCTCTGACCTTTGACAAAGAGCATTGTTCGTTATCAGCCGCGATCGCCCTTTTTTCTGTGAGTTTTTGTACGGCTGCACACGGTGTTCGCCATTTGCTCGCGAGGATTACGATGCGAAACGCGCATCGGCGACGGGTGCAACAATTTCAATGCAAATGTCGCAGCGTGCAGCGAATACAAAACCTGCGAGGGTCGTCGTGCTATTAGATAGACCAGCGCCGCGAATAGAGAACAAAAGGGGAAGAGAGAGAAAGAGAGAAAAGTTCGACCGACGTTTTGTCATTGCCAGTGCAGTGGCAAATTCGGAAAAATCCGTCAAGGGAAATATACAACATAGAGGTTGCTATCTGAAAGAATTTTTGACCTTCCTTTTTTGATATTTTTGAAAAAGCTTACTTTCAAAGGGTTTTTTTTCTAAAATCGAAGAAATGTATCTCTAGACGTATATTGTGTCATCTATTAAGGAAAAATATTGATGACCATAGGACTAGTCCCGAGTTTTCAGGATATTTAATTCTTTAAGAATCAATTGATCATAATTATGATTCTTTTTATTTTCATAGACTCACGATATATTAAAAATAACGTTAAAATGTTTATTAATATAGCTTTGTACTTGTTTTTAACTACATCCAAATATTTGAATAATTTTGTATTAGGTAATATTCTTCCCGTGTCTGTAAAAAAGCATATATAAAAATTACATAAATATGTGTAAATTATATACAATAATTACACAATTTGTGCTAAAAATAAATAAAATTTTGTCTTCTCAAAAATTAGCATTTTTATATATAATACAATAATTTTAAAAATAAGTTTTAAGAATAATTTCATTTTGTTATTTTACTTTATATATATGTAAATGTACATCTTTAATAATAGGTTATAATATTGTTATAACATTATTAAAGATATATATACATACACATAATGTAAAGTTATGTTACGACTTACAAATAAAATTATTCTTCTATATAATAATTAAATAATTTGCAAAAGTAAATTTATAATTGAAGAGATATTTAGTATTAATTAACAAATTACAAACAATTTTTCTTTAGTCATGTTATTAATATCTGTGGATATAAAAATGCAAATATAACACGTGCGATGTATTACTATTATATTATATTAATGTACAAAAATTTGTACATTTACATAAAAACTATAAAATATACTAATCAAGTCTAATGTATTTACACAATTAGAGGTAAAAATACTAATTTTTAAAAAAACATAATTTTATCTATTTTCACTATAAATTATGTAATTTTTACACATTATTTATGTAATCATTATATTATATATATATAAAAGTCTGTAATTTTATACATACTTTTCACAATATAGATAGAGAATTCATTTCGAATATGTTGGAAGTATAACCAAAGCGTACTATATGGTTAGAGAAAATAAGAACAACTTTTAGTCAGTTACGCAATAATATTTCCGTTTACTGGAAAGGCACGTCGAGGAAGATATAAAGTAACGTTTTATTTCTGTGAAAGCTGTTTTGAATACAGCATGTGCCTGTACTTTTATCCTATCCTCGCCTCTTTCTGGCGTAACGTACCACGTAATAGAAGATGGCAGACAGAAGTGCATACTTACAGGAACAACAACGGAATTTACATCGGATGTATACACATCTCGGTGTTGTCCCTTGTGAATCCGTTATTTGGCGGGTGCCACAATGGACCTGCACGTACGTCAATTTGCAAGTATATCATATAACAAACATACTCATACACGATAGTTCGCATTCCGCACTGAGAGAAAAGATTTTGTTATAGGAACAAATCAAGGGAAAGCAAATGTGATATTTGTTTAAAAAATAATCGATTTGTTACAATTGCAAATTAATTCGTCAATGTAACAAATAATCAATAGTATCGCTAGCAAGTAAGAGGCTCATATATATATACATAAGTAATTTTAATTAATAATATTTAATTTATTAAGCATAATATTTATTATCAAACACATATAATTTTTATTAATCCTAATACAGTTTGCCACAGAGAAGATTATAATTTTAATTCAATTCTCAGACTTTATTAATTTTTCACACTGTAGTTCATGCTTTTTCATTAAAGGTACATAGTGCCGTTAAATTAAAACACACACCGATACATATTTATTAACAAGGGGATTGACCATATATATTCTGACGAATAAAGTAATTCTACCTAATGATATCATTCTGTTCCGTAAACGACATTACAATAAATATAACAATAAAAAATGTCGCGTCGGAATATCATGGTGTTTAGTGGAGCCACATTCTTATAGAACATTCGAATGTCGTGAACAATTCGCTTTATTGGCTTCCACCCAGCGCAGTCATTCGATCGCCGCATATATATACTATATAAAAAGTGCAATAACTTCGTGAACATTGCGACAATATCACGATGATATTATTTTGGTTTTTATTGGCAATATCATATATATATATTTAATGAAGAAGCATACGAACTATCCGTGTGGGAAATCAATATTGCAATATCTGAAAATTAAATGTTATCTGCTGTCAAACATATTAAGATTAATTATATCTGTCTATTAAAATGTATTAAATAAATGTACTAAAATTATGTCGATATTTGATAATAAATATTACGTCTAATAAATTAAATAGCAATTAAAGTTATCTATATTGAGAGTAAGTTTGAATTATTATATGTGTACAAATTATGAATAAACGTGTCGCAGGAATTTTCTAACTTAAACATTAAGAAAATTTAAGTCATGAAAAAATTTGACAGTACCTTCAAATACACTGAGTTGAAAATTTTAAAATAAAACATGATTATAAAAATCACTATGATTCCAAATAATGAAAGATTTAGGAAATCTTGAATTTTAATCGTGATTCAGAAATATTTAAAACACATTTAAAAAATGCAAGCTATCGCAGTTGAAAAGAGATCCGAAGAGCGAAAAATATAGCGCGTTTTAGAAACTAGCGACCATAGTACTTCTGTTCTAATTTGAGAAAGCTTTTAGTACGTTGATGGAAAACCTAGCGCAACATAGTGTCAAATTCCTAGCTTTTACCAGTTGTCTCTTCTCCTTTTTTTCTTTTAATTCCTGAAATGTCGGCACTAACATTTGGAATTCTAGAATTGCGAAACAAACTTCAACTATACCGCAATTCCGAATGTTGCATCCACATGGCGTGCACGTAGGTGTACATACATGTGTGCTTGTTGGTCCGGATAAGAGTAACTTAACACTAGTATCTGTTTTGATGTTGTCAAATATAGTATACACCGTTTGACATATGATTCCGCAGGCACGTATATAAGTTTACTAATGCCGCCGTTATTTGGCTGTAAGATTGCAGATTCTACCCCGTTACTTATAAACTGTGATTTAATAACACAAAAGCAGTAATTCGCGTGCGCGACTTGGCCCTGAATAGACTGCGAAGCAAACTTCTTGATTGATGTTAAGTGGAATCGAAAAGAATACAAAGCAAACGATTTAATAATACGATAGAAAGATATAACGTACGCGCACACGTATCTAGTCTATTGAATTTTACGAGCATGCAGTTAAATGCAATAAAACAGCAGATGTTAATGTGCATCGATATTAACCATTTCTAAGAAATTTTTAATAAATACGTAAATTATTCATTTTATTATCACAAATTTGTAATAAAATTCGATTTTAGTTCAATAAGCGATAACGTTATTGAAACAAAAGAATTTTATTCCTGATGATATTCTTATAAATAATACAACACAAAAATCTCTGATCAATATGAACATGCAATATTGGAATGAAGCAATATATTTTTTATCCTGTTAAATTTTAAATTTATCACTGATGTCAGTTGCCATTTCTAGGCTGTTGGTATCTTTGTTGAAACTAGAATTACGATAATACAACTTACATTAAATCCAAATCATACAAGCCCGTGATATCTCCGATCAAACGAGTAATTGACCTCGTTTCTCGTTATCATACGCACTAACAGACAGTATCAATCCGTTTGATAGAAACAGTAATAATTCCCTGCAATCCAACGTCTCGAATAACACGCATCCAATTAATTATTATTCGCATTTCTGCATCTATCGCATGTGCGTATCGCGTGATTAATTCCAAAATGCAAGAATTATAGTTATGAGACTGTTACATGAATCGTATTCATATCTGTCTTGAAAAGTGAGAATGCAATATTTCGCACAATGTCTGCGACGTTCGAGCTTCTCTGGCGAACCTAAAGCAGGATGCAGAAAACCGTGGAAACTATGTTTAGATTGAAGAAATTTAACGCAGTCGAGAAACGTTGGTAGGGAAGGTCAGGAAACTGCGAAAGTCTTGAATCCCTCGTCATAATGGAAATTAAAGAAATTATATTAAACAAAAACAGTTTGTGGCTCCACACACAAGGATAAATCAAATAAAAGAGAAATGTCTATATAAGAGTCTTGTTCATTATATATATTATACATTCTTAATTACGTTC